CGCCGCCACCTGTAAGCAGACGGCCAGTCATCACTCAGCAACACAACTCTGCCTTTAGGCTGCAGCATGTCGCAGCTGACCTGCACACAGACAAATATCACAGCAGTGTTTGTGGGCGATAAGCACACCAGAGGATCAGTGCAATCAAATACACTTCAATGAATACAATACAGCCACTGGCCACGCCCACAACACGCATGGAGATGAATGAATGCAGGCAGCATGCGTCCATCATATTACATTATCACATGAGATAAAACATGAAACAAGCTCGTGAGTACTGCTCCTGTGGAAAACAGGGAACGGTCGGCAGATGAAGGGCCGGAGCAGGGACACTGACAGGCTGCATCATATTAACACGCTATATTTGTTGTGGAAGTAACTCGGTTCAACTCCACGCTCTGACTCTGCTGCAGAATTTAACTGACACTAATCCAGCGATACGACAGTTTCTCTCATTGAGCCTCTGCCAGCGTCTTTCCACTGAGCTCACCTCCATCCTTCTCTCAGGAATATCACATATTTGAAGCTCCTCACACACGTCTGCTTCTTGTCCATGGCCCCACCCTGGAGTTTGTGTTGGCATCACCAGTATTTTCAGTGTGTACATCCTCGTCTCACTGATGTCTTCTGTAAGGATCCACAGAGACTACATGACTGTGCTACTGACGTCCTCCTGGGCGATCCACTTCCTGTCACTTTACAGTTTGTCAAAACCTAAGAGGGAACAAGTGAAGAAATATATTAATGACTCATTGAAAGCTGGTATTATTTGTCCTTCCTAACCGTTAGCAGCTCGTTCTGTCTGTGTTGAAAAGACAGATCTGTCTGTCTCAACAAATATCTGCTGTCTTTGTTCTCTTCTCCTTTTGAGCTTCTCCATCCTCAGGAAAGCTTACCATCTCTTCCCACTCCAGGAGAAGACGACCTTTGACCTTGGGCATTTTCTGGGTTGCTCAATCTTCCAAACTCTCGACATTCTTATCTCCTGTAGAGACATCAGTGACCATCAGGGCCGTGTATGTCAGGTGCTTCAAACACTGCTTGTGTCACGAGGCCAGTATGTGGGAGTGCACCCAAAAGCAAACTCAGTGGAGAAAACAAGCTGATATTTAAGAAGACTTTATTGTGCACAGGTCATATGCACGAAGGACAACGAGAGGAGCGTAGCAAAGGTCGCAGGTGGAGTTTCAACTGGGTGATTCCAGGAATCCAGGCGTGACGACAGGCAGAAGGGCAGGTGAATATGTGACATGGTAAGTAAATACTGGTCAGCTGTGTGTAGGTCGTGTTCCCAAACAACTTCAAACTGAGTAAGAAAAGGTTCATGCTAATAGAGATCCTAAAAAAGGATAAACTCGTCTTAAGCTGAAGAAATATGACATTTGTCCTTTGCCTTGTTTTCATTCATGTGTTGTGTAAACAATGTTTCGTGCTACAGGACTTTTAGCACATTTGAATTCATAGACGAGAAGCCAGAAGTCAGAGTTGTACAGAGCAGAGTACAGCTGTGAGTACACCATGATGTGAAGCATCTTATTAAGAGACCTGATTAACCACTGCAACCTCCAGAACTGCAGAAATGAGCCGGGGTCACAGAGTGCATGAGTAACTGCTGATGGTCTGCTGG